CCTGACCACTCTGCTGCGGTGTGGCTTTGGATCTTGGGAGAATAAAAATGTGTGTGTGGCGGGGGATGGGGGGGTCCTCAGGTGATCACATGCCTGTGGATGAGAAGGGCTTCTTTTAATAATGACCCTTGCACACCCAGATTCCACCTTCCTTCATCAGCCAGGTAGTAGGGGGTCATCCAAATGGAGGCTCAGTTCTGAGGCTGGGCTGAGGCTCTGCCCCTGGACCCAGTGGTTCAATTTCAATGTCAAGATTTGTTCAAAATTGCCAGGCGCTAGTGGCTCCCACCTGTAAGCCATCTCATGCAGAAGAGCCCCTGAGACTCCAGTAAATCAGCAAAAAACTGGAAGCGGAGCTGTAGCACAAGTGGTAGAGTGCCAGCCTTGAGGGGGAAAAAGGCAAATATAGAGCTGAAGACCAAGGACCCACTCTCTCTCTCCCTTCCCACCCCCCTCTCTCTAGTATATTGTGTGTGTGTGTGTGTGTGTGTGTGTGTGTGTGTGTGTGTGTATAAAATCACCGAGATAAGAGTCTCACAGACTTTCTTACCCAGGCTGCTTCAAACTGTGATCCTCAGATCTCAGCCACATGTGTGGCATCAGCTCCCAGCTCTGCCTTGTTCTGGAAGCTTGATAACCAGACAGAAAGTGGGAGGAGAGCAGATGAACTTTCCCTCTGCCTTAAGGAACATGTCTACGTAGCCTTTTCTTTTCTTTTTTTGCCAGTCCTAGAGCCTGAACTCAAGGCTTGGGCACTGTCCCTGAGCTTCTTTTGCTCCAGGCTAGCACTCTACCACTTGAGCCACAGCACCACTTCCAGCTTTTTCTCTGTGTGTGTGGTACTGAGGAATCAAACCCAGGGCTTCATGCATGCTAGCCAAGCACTCTACCACTATGCCACATTCCCAGCCTAATGGATAGACTTTTATAGATACATTTGCAAACATCAGAATGCTCCCTCCACCCCCAACTAGGAAACTCTTACAACAGTTCACCTCATCAAAAAAGAGTCTGGGATGTGGGGACCACTTGTGTGAGCCTGGGAAGCCAGCGGCCTGCAGGAGAGCTGCCAGAAATATCTCAAATGCTGTGCCCTTGGGACCAGGCAGGAAGAGGAGAAGGAGATGGGGGTTGGGTGGGGACAAGAATCCCATGAGTCCTATTCCAGGTCTTCTTGCCAGCTTCTTGCCTTCTCTGAGGCCAAAACATTGCCTGAGAAGGCCTGGAAGGTCCAGGCAGCAGGTACCACAAGTGTGCTCTGCAGTGCCAGCCCCTGAGCGTAGAATGAGTTCCCTGGCCATTCCCACCTCCTAGAAGAAGGTGGTCTGAGAGAGGAGAGGGGCAGCTGGCATTGAACGATGGCGTGGGATTGAACTGGACCCTGTCTGCTGACCTCAGACCTGCTTTCCAGCCCAGTCTGGCGGCGCCTCTCCACCCCCACTAGCTTGCTGCTTCTGGGAGACCCAGGGAGAGAAGGCAGGGCTGACTAATCACAGCCCCAAGCCTGGGGTCATGGTTCGCTTCTGTTCCCTAACACTTAATAACTGCCAGACACGACCAAATGGAGCCACCGTGCCCTCCTGAGAGCAGGAGGTAGTGGAAGGAGCCCAAAGGCTTCCTGGCCAGACTTTGCTCTCTGCTTGCTTTTTGATCTCCCCCAGTCCCAGCCCCTCTACTGTGTGGGTAGAGACTCCAGCACACACCCAGTTTCTTCAGCGGCCAAGCAGTAAGGAAGGGAGTCACCCAATAGGAGGCCTTGGTTCTGAAGCTCCGCCCTCGGGGCCCGCCCCCTTCGGGCGCCAGTGGGTGTGGCCTGCCTCAGGGCGGGGAGAATTTCCTCCTCGCAGACACTGAGGGGGGTCCCCTGGGATTTGGAGAGGACAAGGCGCAGTCCTGGCTTGTGGGCAGCCCACGGAGTTCCCAGGCCCTGCCTGACCCCCATCCCTCCCAACCAACCAACCTCCCTCTCCACTTTGCCCCCTCCCCCCACATACTGTGCAAGGTGGGGGTTCCCACCCCCACCCCAGGCAGAAGTCTGGGTCAGACTCTAGGCCTTTAGACACAGCGCCTCTCCTAGGAGATGAGAGACAGATCCCCTCCCCCTCCAGCATGATGTAAAGCTCTGCTCAGCTTTGATGTCAGGGAAGTTTGTCATGGTATGACTCCAGAAAGCAGTATCATCACTGAGGGGTCCCAAAGGAGAGCCTTATGCCTAGTGTGGTTCCTAGGGGGCTTGGAGCCCTAGAACCATCGGGTATCAGGAAAGCCTCACAGGTCCACATGGGTGGTAAAGGCCAGGCCTTCTTCATCAACTGGAGTTGGGGATCCTTCTGGACAAAGGGTATGTGACTGGAGATTGTCCTGGGAAAGAGGCTGGGTTTCCTTCCCTTCCAGTATTCTGGGGATTCCTACAAGTTAGGAGCCCAGGATCAAAAGCCCATACCATCGCTGCTGGGTGCCAGTGGCTCACGCCTGTCATTCTAGCTACTCAGGAGGCTGAGATCTCAGGATCACAGTTCAATGCTAGCCAGGTCAGAAGAGTCCTTTGAGACTCTTATCTCCAGTTACCTGCCAGAAGTGAAGCTGTGGCTCAAGTGCTAAAACACCAGCCTTGAGCAAAGAAAAAAGCTCAGGAACATCACTCAAGCCCTGAGTTCAAGTCCCAGTACAAGCACCAAAGAAAGATGCTACTGTATGCCATTTCTGGCTATGCCTCAATGTTCACTCCAGAGACATCTATTAAGCACTTGCTGTATGCCTGCTGCTGGGCTCACTGGTATAGCTTCCATATTTTGGTTGCTTGAGGGTCCTTTACCAGGGCCTTTATTGAGGAAGATGGATTATTTGTCCTAACATAACCCTTGCTTGAGTTAAAGTGGAAGGAATTAGGAGGGACTAGAAGGTGCTTCTCTGGGTTATGGAGTGGCTCTGGATGGGACTCTTCCACATCATCGATATAAATCTTCTATTCTCCCTGTTCTAAAGATGAGGAATGCTGGGTGTGTTGGCTCACGCCTGTAATCCCAGCTACTCAGGAGGCTGAGATCTGAAGAGCTTGATCGAAATTCCATGAGGCTCTCAAATTCCCAATTAACCAGCAAAAAGCCAAAAGTGGAGCTGTGGCTCAAGTGGTAGAGCATCAGCCTTGAGCAGAAAAAGCCAAGAGACAATGTTGAGATCCTGTGTTCGAATCCTGATACTAGCACACACAGAATGATGAAGAATTGTGACCCAGAAGCGTGAGTAGCTTGTTTCTGTGTCCCACAGTAAAGACCCTTTAAGCTACAACGATCAATTTGGGGTTGAGGGATGAACAATAGCCTGAAGAAAGTGCAGGTGAACTCTCCAAGCCTGAGACTTTAACAATGGCCGGATGGAGCCTTCAGCTGTGATTGTTGAAGATCTGAGTAACAGCAAGTCACCAGATCAAATCATGTCTGGATTAGAAGGGAACTAAGGGTCATCTTGTCCCATCCTGTGAAACATGGTGGCCTGCCCCTCCCCCCCTTAGCTTCCATCAAGGTCAGCAGAACATCAAGGTCATCCAAGGGCAGTCCCCAGGCTTAGAATCCACCTCTGTCTCCTTGCTGCTGCCATCTGGTTAGTCTGGGTTTTAAGAAAAAGCAACTGCATTTGTCAGAAAGGGAGCTGTGCTCACACCTGTAAGCCTGGCTACTCAGGGAGGCTGAGATCTGAGGATTGAGGTTCAAAGTTAGCTTGAGCAGAAACAGTCCTGAGACTCTTATCTCCAGTTAACCACCAAAAAGCAAGATGTGCAAGTGTGGCTCAAGTAATAGAGCACCAACCTTGAGTTAAAAACCCAAGCAAGGGCTGGGAAGGGGGCTTAGTGGTAGAGTGCTTGCCTCGCTTGCATGAAGCCTTGGGTTCGATTCCTTAGTACCACATAAAGAGAAAAGGCCAGAAGTAGTGCTGTGGCTCAAATGGTAGAGGGCTAGCCTTGAGCACAGAGTGGCTCAGGGACAGTGCCCAGGCCCTGAGTTCAAGCCCCAGGACTGGAAAAAAAAAAAAAAAAGCCAAGCAAGAGCAGGAGTTCAAGGCAAACACCTGCCCATAGAACAAGATGCAAAACTACAGGGAAATGTGACTTGGAAACAAAGTGAGCTATTAAAGACCGTTGTAAAACAGCCTAACGAATGAGATGAGGCCATAGAAATGTGGAAACTGTCTTAAATCATTATTCAGCTGAGCTCTCTCTTGAGACCATCCCCAGACCAAGCTGCTGATCTTACCAGTAGTTTAGACACAGGAACTAACACTCAGAATGGTGGCACACACCTGTAATCCCAGCACTCAGGAGACTGAGGTGGAAATATTTATAGACCAGGAGGACACAAACCCCAAGAACCCTGACCCCGATGACCAAGTTTCTCAAAGAGAATTAAAAAATAAGGGGGAGACCGGCCCCTCCCCAAGCTTCATCATTAATCTCTGATCTGCTGTACACAAGAGATGTGTGTGTGTGAGCCAGATTTTAAAACAAACACCCCATTTACACAGGCAGCCACAAACAACAACCGGGTTCGTTCCTATGGAGGAGAAACAGTAATCCAGGATTGAGTTGGGTTTCATGGAGTTGAGCCCATACTGGCCAGGCCCCCCCCAACCCCCCTCCCCGGGGGTCTATCCCAGTGGCTGCCTGGAGGAGGAGGCGTGGGGGCCTTGGTGGCCACCAAGGATGGGGTGATGTTTGTGTGGATGGGCAGAGACCCGGAGGAGGCTAGAAAGGCCCTTCCGATCGACCCTGGCCCCCCACCCCGATAGTCTCCTGGGGACGCTTGGGGGAGTAGGGGAAGAGGATCAGGGATGGCCTGCGCTCCCGGGGTGCTCCGGGGGCGGGGTGCAGGCTATCCACGGGGAGGGGGGGCGGATCCTGCAGGCCTTAAAAGGCGCTGGGCGCGGGGCGGCCCCGCCCTCCGGCCCGGGGCCCCTCCCCCGGCGGCGGGCGCGCTGGTCGCTGGCCCGGGCCCGGCGGGCTGCGGGCGCCGCCGGCTGCACCATGGCCTCGGTGTTCGGGAAGCCCCGCACGGGCAGCAGCGGGGTGCACAGCGCACCCCTGGAGGTCAACCTGGCCATCCTGGGGCGCCGCGGGGCGGGCAAGTCCGGTGAGTGGTGTGTGTGTGCATGTGTGTGTGTGCATGTGTGCATGTGTGTGTGCATGTGTGTGTGCATGTGTGCATGTGGGTGCATGTGGGTGTGTGAAGGGTGGGGACACCCCCTCCCCTTGGTGGGACCTTCCCTCCTACCGCTTGGAGTAGGGGGGAGTAGGTGGTCAGGAGTGGGGTTCCTTTCCCAGGGGGATGTGGAGAGCCTAGAGTGGTGTGATCTGCCTCAGTTTCTCTGAGGCTGGTTCTCAGTCTCTCCAGCTCTTTCATCTGGTTCTTTGTCAGTCCATCCGTCCGTCCATCTGTCTGTCCATCTCAATCCTCTAGGTCCCGGATTAACAGCTGGGCCCCCCACCCAGCCCAGCCCTCATCCCTCAGTCCTTGTCTCCAGACAAGGAAGGTCTGCATCTCCAACCTGGCCACCTCCACCCCCCTCTTTGAATTTGGCCAGCTTTACAACTGGCTGGGTGGTGGTGGTGGTGGAGGTGGTGGTGGTGGTTTTCATTTTAAACTTTTTTTGGGGGGGGGGTCTGGTCGTGGAGCCAGAACTCTGGGCCTGGGCGCTGTCCCTCAGCTCTTCAGCTCAAGGCTAGCACTCTACCACTTGAGCCACAGCGCCACTTCTGGCTTTTTTCTTTTTGCTTATGTGGTGCTGAGGAATCGAACCCAGGGCCTCAGGCATGCAAGGCAAGCGCTCTACCACTGAGCCACCTTCCCAGCCCTCATTTTAAACTTTTTAAGTGGTTATTCTCAAGGCGATGGGCAGAGGGGTTCGTCACGGAAGTCAGGCGATGAGTACCTTTCTTTTTAGACAATGTCACCCCTTCCCTCGCTCTCTCCCAGTGTTCCCCTCCCGTCCCCACCCACAAGTTGTATACTTCATTTTCAATATGGCTTATGCCCTGCCAGCCCGCCTCAGCCCCTCATAGACAGGAGAGGGTAAAGTCCCCGGCTGTTGTATTCTTGGGGACAGACACCCCCCCATCCTCCTTAAAGACAGCCCCCACCCCCTCCTTCTCCTTGGGATTCTGACAGGCTGTGTTTCCTTATCAGAGGGATTTCTTTCAAGCCTGACCTCTCTGGACTTTCTAGAAACACATTTGACTGTGGGCCCAGGTGCCAGGGACTTGTCCTAGATGAAGCAAGATGGGGGACTGCCACTGAGGGCATTTCTGCCAAGCTGAACTCTGCCACCACCGCAAGCAGAGACCCCCGGACACCACGTGCTCCCCACAAGTCCCAAGCAGCCGAAAGGGGGAGGGAAGGGGGAAGGGGGCTTCTCCACAGAAGTGCTCAGCCCAGCCTCTGCTAAGTTGTGGGTTTCCTTGTGTGTGTGTGTGTGTGTGTGTGTGTGTGTGTGTGTGTGTGTGTGTGTGTGTGTGTGTGATTGCGTGCATGCGTGCACCCCTGTTCTATCCTGGGGCTTGAATTCAGGACGTAGGTGCTGTCTGAGCTTTTGTGCTCAAGGCTAGCATGCTACCACTTGAGCCACAGCTCCACTTTGGTTTTTTGGTGATTAATTGAAAGGAAAAATCTCAGGGACTTTCCTGCCTAGGGTTGGCTTCTAATCTCAGTCCTCAGCTCTCAGCCTCTTGAGTAGCTAGGATGACAGATGTGAGCAACTGAGGGAATAGGGGTATTCTTTGACATCTTTGGGACCTAGTCTCTGATTTTAAAACAACAAAACTAGCTTGTCTTCCTTCCTTTCTTTCTTTCTTCCTTTCTTCCTTCCTTCCTTCCTTCCCTCCTTCCTTCCTTCCTTCCCTCCTTCCCTTTCTTTCTTTCTTTTTCTCTTTCTATGTCAGTACTGGGGGGGAGGAACTCACCTTTTGCTTAGTTTTTTTTCTTTCGAGGCTGGCACCCTAACACTTGAGCCACACCTCTTCTGCTTTTTCTCCCCTCTCTGAAGATCAGAGTCTCTCAGATTTGTCTGCCTAGGCTGGCTTCGAACTGTGATCCTCAGATCTCAGCATTTTGAGTAGCTAGGTTTACAGGTGTGAGCCACCAGCATTTCACCTCCATTTTTATTTTGAAGCCAACCTCCCCAGGGCTCAGAAAGGGGACAAAGAATCTGGTTTTTACACAGAGAAGTTTAGCTCTTGTCTCTTTGAGTATTAGCTTGTGACCTGCACCTCTGAGAAGGTGTGGCCAGTGGCTACGTGACTGAGGAATTTCACTTTTAAAATATGTATTCCCTGGGTATTAATTTGTAAATGGATACTGTGAGGAATCCTATAAAAGAAATTATAAGGATTTTTCCTTGGCAAGATCACATCTTTTAAACCATCTAACATAGCCAAATGTGGTAGCTTACACTTATAATCCTAGCTACTCAGGAGGTTGAGATTTGAGGCTTACACTTTTTTTTTGGTCAGTCATGGGGCCTGAACTCTTGGCCTGGGCGCTGTCCCTCAGCTCTTCAGCTCAAAGCTAGCACTCTACCACTTGAGCCACAGCGCCACTTCCAACTTTTTCTGTGTATGTGGTGCTGAGGAATGGAACCCAGGGCCTCATGCATGCTAGGCAAGCACTCTACCACTGAGCCACCTTCCCAGCCTGAAACTCATATTTGAAGCCAATCAGGACAGACAAATCCAAAAGACTCTTAATTCCAGTTCACCACCCAAAAGCAAGAAATGAAACTATGGCTCAAGTTGTAAAGTACCAGCCTTGAGCAAAAAAAGCTAAACAAGAGTGTGAAGCCCTGACTTCAAGCCCCAGTAATAGCACAAAAAGGAAGAGGAAGGGGAGGAGGAAGAGGAGGTGAGGGAAGGAGGAAGAAAGGAAAGAAAGAGAAAAAAAAAGAGGAAGGAAGGAAGGGAGGGAGGGAGGGAGGGAGGAAGGAAGGAAATAATACAGTGTAATAGTTGGCTAACTCTTGCTTTAGATGGTTAAAATCAGTTCTGAGGATGAAGTCTAGAAGGGAAGTCTTCATTCTAGAGTTTTCCACACTTCAGAAATGCCCATGTGAGGTAGAGGCCCTGACAGAGCCAAAGCCCAAGATGAAGGTTGGGGCGGGGGGGAAGCAGGGCTGGAACCTTGTTTCCTTGGGAGTCATGGTTTGGCTTGGACCTCATGAACTCCCAGGATCTTGGGGCTCATTCCCTTGGAGGAATGGCTCAGGGGTCAACTCTGTTCTCTGTCTCTTGGGCTTCTAACCACAGTCCGGATAAACACACACACACACACACACACACACACACACACACACACACACACACACACACACACACACACACAAAAGCACGCATGCGCACAGGGAGAAGCTACTGCCGCAGAGATTGAACCCACCCTCCTTCTGTCTCTTGCAGCCCTCACGGTGAAGTTTCTGACCAAGAGGTTTATCAGCGAATATGACCCCAACTTGGGTAAGAAAAGTGTTTCCCTCTGACCTCTGCTCCCCTGGGACCCTCCTGGGTTCCCCCCCACTTGGGGCCTCCGGGTGGAGGCTGCAGGATCATTTGGTTTTAGAGAGGTTGGTTCAAGTGGCACAAATACCCGTGCCACAGCCCACCTTCAGGGAGCTGGGGAGTTGGCTCAGCTCAGAGAACACAGACCGGACTCGTTTGCCCTAAAATAGAAGGTATGAGGAGACTTCCAAAGAATGAAGATCAAAAAGCCAAAGGAAGCAAGATATTCACAGGCAAAGACATGTTGTTTTCAAGATGGTCTCTTGGTGTTCTTTTCCAGAAAACAGACCTTTGAGAAACTTTCTCCAAGACGGCTGCTTTCTGAGCCAGACTTGCAATCCCATGAGAAAAACAAAACAAAATAAAACAAAATGGGGGGGGGGGGGGGGAGATGGTCATGGGGTTTGAACTCAGAGCCTGAGCCCTTTCCCTGAGTTCTTTTGCTCAAGGTTAGCACTCTTCCATTTTTGAGCCACAGAGCCACTTCTGGTTTTCTGGTGGTTAAGTGGAAATAAGAGTTTCACAAGCTTTCCCGCTTAGTCTGGTTTTGAATCATGATCCTCAGGTCTCAGCCTCCTAAATAGCTAGGCTTACCAGCATGTGTGAACCACTGGCACCTGGCTTCTTAGGTTATTTTATTAGCTTCAGCTGTACCATGGGAACAGTGTGGGTGTTTGGGTGCCTGTCAGATGTGGGTTTGAATCAAGACTCTGACATTTATTTGCTGGCTGTGCAACTTGGAGACAGTCACTTAACCACTCTGAGCAACAGTTTTCTCATCTGTAAACATGATTATAAACCATCTCTCTCAGAGAGCTGCTGTGAGAATTAAGGACATAACTTGACCCAGAAGAGACTCTGAATGCTTCTTCACTTTTACTTTCTCCTCAAGTGGCTTTCCATACACAGTGCCTGAGATCCCCTCAGACTTGATCAGATCTGTGTTTCTGAAATGGATTTATCTATGTATTTATGTCTTTATTTGTACTGGTCCTAGGACTTGAACTCAGAGCCTAAGCACTATCCCTAGACATTGCTGCTCTAACCATTTGAGCCATCGCTCCTCTCCCAGTTTTTTTTTTCTTTTTCTTTTTAATTGGAGATAAAGAGTCTCCTAGACTTTCCTGCCAACTCAGCCTCAAAGTACGATCCTCAGATCTCAGCCATCTGAGTAGCTGGGATTACAAGCGTGAGCTGCCAGCAGTGGATCTTGATTGAGTAATTTCCAAGTTGTGGTCAGCCTGACTGGGACAGGGTACAGCCACCACACAGTAGTTAATCAAATGTCACTCCAGCCTGTGGGTGAAGACAATGCCAGGCCCTCTCTACCAGGACATTCTAGGGAACAGCACCATTGCTCAGAGGCCCTGTCCTACCTCCAAGAAGAGCAGCAGCCAGAAGATCCTGTGAAGCAATTTCTGGACTTTCAGTAGATGGGCTTCAGGCAGATGTTAGCACAACAGTTCTTTAGACTTTTCTAGCATCTCCCAAGAGCCTGACCATCTGGGGTCCCCTTGAGATGGAGATTCACCCCCCAGTTCCAGCAGGTATACAGAGCTAGACGCTCTTATACCATGAAGTTGGATTTGGGGCTTTTAGGGTTCTCTTTCAAAAATCATTATCTCACACACACACACACACACACACACACACACACACACACACGTTTAATCGGTGGAGAAATAGAAGCAGATCGGAAGATCTGCCTAAGATCCAGGAGTCCCTAAAGCAAAGGAAGAAGATGAAGTTCTGCTCTCTGGGCCTCACTTTCCCCATCTAGATGTGTATGTGAGCTGGGCTTTGTCGTGGGCTGTGACTGTGGAGGCTGTTAGGGAGGCTGCTTGTGGGAGGGCTTTGCTGGTGCTGAGCCCAGGGAAAGGCTTCGAGAATGTCCTCCTCTCACAGAAAGGCTGCAACTGCTTACCACACTCAGCCCCTCTCCTCTTCATCCTGCTCTAACAAGGACTCAGACGAGCTCCATCTCTGGAGCTTTCTCTCACTACAGACACTCTGCCCAGAAATGCGTTCCTTTTATTACTCTAGCACGGCACCTGTGGCTCACGCCTGTAATCCTAGCTACTCAGGAGGCTGAGATCTGAGGATCCAGGTTTAAAGCCAGTCTGTGAGACTCTTTTTTTTAATCCACAATGCACCACCAAAAAGCCAGAAGTGGCCAGGCACCGGTGGCTCACGCCTGTCATCCTAGCTACTCAGGAGGCTGAGATCTGAGAATCGTGGCTCAAAGCCAGCCCGGGCAGGAAAGACCGTGAGACTCCTATCTCCAATAAACCACTAGAAAACCGGAAGTGGTGCTGTGGCTCAAGTGGTAGAGCGCTAGCCTTGAACTGAAGAACTGAGGGACAGCGCCCAGGCCCAGAGTTCAAGCCCCACGACCGACAAAAAAAAAAAAAAAGCCAGAAGTGGAGATGTGGCTTCAGTGATAGAGTACCATCCTTGAGTGTAAAAGCTAAGGGACAACACCCAGGTCCTGAGTTCAAGCCCCAGTACCAGCATGTGTACACACACACACACACACACACACAATTAGGAGGCTGAGGTCTGAAACTCCAGGTTCAAAGCCAGAACAGGGCAGGAAAGTCTGTGAAAGTTTTTTTTTTTTGTGGGGGGGAGGGGGCCCAGTTGTGGAGCCTGAACTCTGGGCCTGGGCACTGTCCCTCAGCTCTTCAGCTCAAGGCTAGCACTCTACCACTTGAGCCACAGCACCACTTCCGGCTTTTTTCTTTTTGCTTATGTGGTGCTGAGGAATCGAACCCAGGGCCTCAGGCATGCAAGGCAAGTGCTCTACAACTGAGCCACCTTCCCAGCCCCTCTGTGAAACTCTTATCTCCAATGAACCACCAGAAAACTGGAAATGGTGCTGTGGCTCAAAGAGGTAGAGAGCTAGCCTTGAGCAAAAGAGCTCGGGGACAGCTCCCAGGTCCTGAGTTCAAGCTCCAGGACTGACCAAAAGAAAAAAAAAAGGCAGTTGGGAGTAAGGGGACACAAGGAGATCTGACACCTTTTCCAGGATTCTCTGCCTATTTGGAAGGGTACTCCAGATGACTTTGGTTAGAAAATAAAGACAAATCTTGGGGCTGGGAAGGTGGCTCAGTGGTAGAGCGCTTGCCTTGCATGCATGAGGCCCTGGGTTCGATTCCTCAGCACCACATAAGCAGAAAGAAAAAAGCCAGAAGTAGCACTGTGGCTCAAGTGGTAGAGCGCTAGCCTTGAGCTGAAGAGCTGAGGGACAGCACCCAGGCCCAGAGTTCAGGCCCCATGACTGGCAAAAAAAAAAGAAAATAAAGACAAATCTCAACAAAATGTTGGCATCCAGAGACAGCTCTTTGGGTGGGTTCAAATATAGTTAAGCATTTTGGACATATTTTCCATTCAATTTTTTTTTTTTGGTCTTTGCATAAGAGCAGCTATTTATCCAAGTCCTGCAAGCAGGCTGGCGACGAGGAGCTGTCTGTGATTCATGCTGGATGCGAGTGGACCTGGCGTGTGTCCAGGCCCGCATGCCTGCCAGCGGCCCCAGAGCAGTGTGTGCCTCTGCATCCATCAGGCCCGGGGTGCTGTTCTCACAGTGGTTGCTGCCAGGAGGCAGAGAGGACCCCAATTCTGCCTGGAGAGGTCTTGTTGGGGGTGGGGGGCACAATCCAAGGGGGATAGAAGGGGAAAGTGAGGACTGAGTACATTTTTGTTTTTGGTCAGTCATGGGGCTTGAACTCTGGGCCTGGGCACTGTCCCTCAGCTCTTCAGCTCAAGGCTAGCGCTCTACCACTTGAGCCACAGCGCCTCTCCTGGCTTTTTCTGCTTATGTGGTGCTGAGGAATCGAATCCAGGGCCTCATGCATGCAAGGCAAGCACTCTACCACTGAGCCACCTTCCCAGCCCAGCCATCTTCCCAGCCCAAGTGCGTTCTTGTATGTGTGCAAATGTTGGGGGGGGGGGAACCCTGGGGGTGACATCTTCTTTGCATGTCTGACCACTGCTACTTGCTGATTTCTTAGGTTGGAGGTTATTAAGAATAGAAAAAGTTGATTGCCAGTGGCTCACGCCAATAATCCTAGCTACTCAGGAAGCTGAGATCTGAGGATCTTGGTTCAAAGCCAGCCCGGGCAGGAAAGTCCGTGAGACTCTTATCTCCAATAAACCACCAGGAAACTGGAAGTGGTGCTGTGGCTCCAGGGGTAGAGTGTTCACCTTGAGCTGAAGAGCTCAGTGACAGCACGCAGGCTCAGAGTTCAAGTCCCATGACCAAAACCAACAACAATTTACCAGGCACCAGTGACTCATGCCTATAATCCTACCTACTCAGGAGGCTGAGATCTGAGGATCACATTTTGAAGCCCGCTCAAGCAGGAAAGTCTGTGAGACTTTTATCTCCAACTAACCACCACAAAACAGAAGTGGAGGTGTGGCTCAAGAGGTAGAGTGCTAGCTTTGAGCACAAAAGCTCAGGGACAGTGCCCAGGCCCTGAGTTCAAGCCCCAGCACTGGCATGCACACGCGCACACACACACACACACACACACACACACAAACACACACATCCAAACTGGAAGTGAGGTATGGCTGAAGTGGTAGAGGGCCAGATGAGTGAAATGAGCTGCAGTCATTCAAGCCCCAATACTCGTCTACCCAGAGAGGAAAGCTGGACACAGGCTGGGTTTGTGGCCTGCCTGCCTCTGATCTAAGGGATCATCTGTGTTTCAGAGGATACTTACAGCTCTGAGGAGACTGTGGACCACCAGCTTGTCCACCTGAGGGTCATGGACACCGCAGACCTGGTAAATTACCGCCACCCCCTTACCCATGCACAAGGGCAGGGAGGGGGTGTGGGCCCTGAGAATCCGCACATGGCCTCGGTTGGGAATTTCTACTCCTCTGAAGCTCCAGTGTGCTGTGCAACCTTGAGTGAAGTACTGCAGTTTCTGGGCCTGAGTCTTACATTGCCAAAATTCGAAAGCTGGTGACGATCCTTCCCTGGAGCACGCTGATGATTCAGAAGCAGCTTGAGCTGGGCACCTGGGACTCACGCCTGTCATCCTAGCTACTCAGGAGGCTGAGATCTGAGGATCGTGGCTTGAAGCCAGGCAGGGAAAGTCCGTGAAACTCCTATTTCCAAGAAATCACCAAAAAAGCCAGAAGTGGTACAATGGCTTAAGACCTCTATCCTTGAGCACAAAAGCTCAAGGACAGTGGCCCAAGCCCTGAGTTCAAGCCCCAGAACTGGCACCTAAATAAATAAATAAATAAAGGCAGCATGAAATTGATCCCAAACCTAGAGTGCTCTAGGGTACCAGGTCCCCTAAAGGGCTATTGGAGAGTTCCTGGCTCTGGGCCCAGGGGCCCAAGGTCTTCAAGGCTCTCTGGATGGCCGGAGAGAGGTCAGGAGACAATGTCTCCTTTCACACCAGGCCAAATCCACACTCAAGTGCCCCTTTGAAAAGGCCTGTGTGTTTATGTGTGTGTGGGGAGAGACAATAAACAAAAGACTGCTATCACAGAATGATGGAGGCGGCCAGGTAAGAGCCTTTACCCCATCTCCTCCCTCCCTCACCCCAGGACACCCCCAGGAACTGCGAACGCTACCTGAATTGGGCCCATGCCTTCCTGGTGGTGTACAGCGTGGACAGCCGCCAGAGCTTCGAAGGCAGCAGCAGCTACCTGGAGCTGCTGGCCCTGCACGCCAAGGAGACTCAGCGTGGCTACCCTGCTCTGTTGCTAGGCAACAAGCTGGATATGGCTCAGTATAGGTGAGTGCCCAGCACCGCCCCCTCCCCTCCCCGGCCCCGCCCCTTGGTGCTCATCTCCAAGTTCATGCTCTACATTGGCAGAAGCAGGATTACTTAGCTGTCAAGAGCAGTCATCACTTGGAATCTAGGGAACAGGATTGTGTAGGAAAGGAACAGGGGGTACTGAGAACAAGTATCTGGACCCTGTAGATGCTGGATCCCAGAAGTCAAAAGCAAAGCCAAGCTGTGTGCATGCAGGGTGGCTCACGCCTGTAATCCCAGCTACTCGGGAGCTTGAACTCTGCCAATCCTGAGCTGATAAATCAATGAGATTCATATTTCCAGTTAACCTGCAAAAAGCCAGACATGGAAGCGTGGCTCAAGTGGTAGCCCTGAGCAAACAATGCCAAGCAAGAGCAAAAGGCCCTGAGTTCAAGCCCCAGTATGGACACACACACACACACACACACACACACACACACACACGGAAGAAGAAGCAGCAAAGCCACTCCCATTCTCCTGGGTCTCTGTGGTCTTTCGGCCTCACCCTTTCTTGCTTAAGACTACTTGATGACCTTCTGCGCCCATTCCCAGTAGCCAGTTAGCCAGCTGGTTAGTCATTCAGTGCCCCCTTCCAGATGCACTGAGAGGCTGTGATTGGCTCATTGGGTCACATGTCTTCTGTAGCCCAATCAGCTCTAGCCTTTCCCAAGCCAGGCCCTCGGGCTCACTGCCACAGTTGGCTGCTTCAGGGCAGGCCCTTTCAGAAAGGCTTGGACTTGAACCAGAGGTCACAGACTGGGCCAGAGGCTAGATTGCTACAGAACACTGCCTCTGTATTTGGCTTGGCTGATATTGGGCTTTTAAAACCTGGAATTGGAATACTTTGAGGTGGGGCCTGCTTTTTCCAAATGACCCCGACCCCAACCCTCCACATTATCCTGGTAGGCCCCAGAGCCCCTGTTGTGGTTGCTGCCTGGACCTGATGAGTAACTTTCTGAGCTTTTGTTGGTGTGACACTATCTGCTCTTGGCAGCTGGCTCCTGATTTCCCACGCCCCAAAGATCCAGTGAACAGGTGTCAGGAAAGAGGGGTCCTTTGTTTAGAATAAGTCCGATGTGTAGTGAGGGAAGGGAATTATGGAGTTGGGGGGGGGCGGGCACAATAAAGAGGCTGACACAGGAGTCTGAGACTCCCTTCTTGGCGAGCAAGTCAATTCTTGGGGAGCAAGGCACGTTGTTACATGTTAAAGTGGATGCAGGGAATGCTTAAGGAATTCAGAAGACTGGATTTATGCTGAGCACCAGTGGCTCATTCCTTTCATCCTAGCTACTCAGACAGCCGAGTTCAAAATCAGCCTGGCAGGCTAATCCAAGGATTATCTTCAGTTAATCAGCAAAAAGCTAAAGTAGAGGCTGGCTCAAGTGGTAGAGCGCCAACCTGGAGCAAAAAAAAAAAAAAAGAAAGAAAGCACAAAGTCTAGAGTTGACACCTCAGTCCTGGAACTAGAAAAAGAAAAGAAAAAAAGTGGGCACCGGTGGTTCATGCCCGTAATCCTAGCTACTTAAGAGGCTGAGATTTGATGATCGTGGTTCAAAGCCAGCCCATGTAGGAAAGTCTGTGAGACTCTTATCTCCAATAAACCACAGAAAACCGGAAGTGGTGCTGTGGCACAAGTGGTAGAGTGTTAGCCTTGAGCTGAAGAGCTGAGGGACAGCGCCCAGGCCCAGAGTTCAAGCCCCACGACCAACAGAAAGAAAGAAAGAAACAAAGAAACAAAGAAAGAAAGGAAGGAAGGAAGGAAAGAAAAGAAAGAGAGAAAGAGAGAAAGAAAGAAACCAGCCAAGTATTAGCCAGTGTCTTCCATGCTTGTCTTGTCACTAAAAGATTAAAATGTGTTTGCCAGACACTGATGGCTCACGCCTGTAATCCTAACTACTCAGGAGGCTGAGATTTAAAGACAATGATTCAAAGCCAGCCTGGGCAAGAAAGTCTGTTAGAAAACCCAAAGTGGCACTGTGGCTCAAAGTGGTAGAGTAGCCTTGAACAAAAAACTCAGTGCCCAGGCCCTGAGTTCAAGCCCTACTACCACCAAAGACAAAAATATGGGCTAGAACTCATATGCCACCAACAAAAATGTTCCCTAGACGGCAACAGAATAATAATGACGTGGCTGTCATCTGCTCACTGGTGTGTGTGTGTGTATGTGTGTGTGTGTGTGTGTGTGTGTGTCTTTATCTGTCTCTGTCTTATGGTAGTAGGCTTGAACCCAGGGCCGAGGTACTGTCCCTGAGCTTTTTTTTGCTCAAGGGTAGAGCTCTACACTTGAGACATAGCTCCACTTCTAGCTTTTTTTAGTGGTTAATTGGAGGTAAGAGTCTCACAGACTTTCCTGCCTTGGCTGGCTTTGAACCAGGATCCATAGGTATCAGCCTCCTGAGTTGCTAGGATTATAGATGTGAGCCACCTACTGATGTCTCCTCTTCTGGACAGCTAACCTACCCAACAGGTCCTGACTTGAAGGTCAGAAGTTTCCAGAATCTTCCCCGTTGTAAGCACTTTATCCTGTCATTCCAGGAGATAGTATGGGACCAGACTGGAAAAGGTGCTTTTCCTTCTTTTCCCCCTGTACACCAGGAAAAGTGCTTTTCTTCTGCTCTCTGCTGCCCTCTCCTGGACAGGCTGATAAAAGCCCATGAGTCCTGAGAACTGCCAGCCACAGACTTCTTGCTTTTATTTAGCACTGGTTTCACAAGCCAGGGCAGAGGGAGGCTAACTTCCTGACAGAAGGGAAGAGGAGAGAGCAGACTGCATCTGGCCTTCTTACTCTGGTCATATGCAGGTCTGGCTAGGGGAACTTTATACCAACTTATCTCTTACCTTTTCCTTCCATCCTGAATTCCGACTTTGGTGACATCAGACACCATTTGTGTGTGTGTGTGTGTGTGTGTGTGTGTGTGTGCGCGTGTACACGCAAGCGTGCGCGTGGGGGGCGGGGAGGCAGGCTACTGGTCCTGGGGTTTGAAGCTCAGGACCCTGAACTTTTGTGCTCAAGGCTGGAGGTGCTCTGCCCCTTGAGCCACAGCAACACTTCTGGCTTTTTTTTGGTATTTCTTTGGAGATGAGAGTCTCACAGACTTTCTTTCCTGGGCTGGCTTCTAACTATGATCCTCAGATCTCAGCCTCCTGTGTAGCTAGGATTACAGGTGTGACCCACAGGTGCCTCACTAGCCACCATTTTTTAAACTGAGCCCCAGTTCTGCGGGCTAGGCACCGAACACAAATCATCTTTCCCAGTTTTGGTTTTATTTTGTTTTTGTTTTTGGTCTGAACACTGTCCCTCAGCTCTCCAGCTTAAGGCTAGCGCTCTTCCACTTGAGCCACAGCGCCACTTCCAGTTTTCTGGTGGTTTATTGGAGAGAAGAGTCTCACGGACTTTCCTGCCCTGGCTGGCTTTGAACCATGATCCTTAGATCTCAGCCTCCTGAGTAGCTAGGATTACAGGCATGAACAACTGGTACCTGGCTCATCTTTCCAGCTTTTAACACTCCTGAGTGGCTGAGGTCAACACCCCAAGGTCCAGAGGGGAAACTTGAGACTCAGGGCCCCCCAGGCAGAAGGTGGGGAGCTGGATACAGGCCTGGTTCTGGCGGCCTAGGAGAACTTCCCTGATGACTCACCACCTCGCCCTGCTTTTCTCGCAGGCAAGTCACCAAGGCCGAGGGTGCAGCATTGGCTGGCAGGTTCGGATGCCTGTTTTTCGAGGTCTCTGCTTGCCTGGACTTTGAACACGTGCAGCACGTCTTCCATGAGGCTGTGCGGGAAGCCCGGAGGGAACTAGAGAAGAGTCCTCTGGCCCGGCCCCTCTTCATCTCCGAAGACAGGGCCCTGACCCACCAGATCCCATTCACTGCCCGCCATGGGCTAGCCAGCTGTACCTTTAACACTCTCTCCACTGCCAACCTAAAGGAGATGCCCACTGTGGCCCAGGCCAAGCTGGTCACTGTGAAGTCATCCCGTGCCCAGAGCAAACGCAAGGCGCCCACCCTGACCCTACTAAAGGGCTTTAAGATCTTCTGAGGGCCTCCCCCCCCCCCGCTGTTATAGGAATCCGGGGTTCAGCCACTGGGATGTGGACCCCCTCTGATGGACCAACAGTCTTTGACCTCTGGTGGACAGATGACTTTTAAGTCCAGCACCAAGCATTGGTTGTCCATTCAATTCACTGTTCAAGCCACAGGCCTTGATCTCTGTGGTCACTGCTACATCCATGACCCTGGAGGAAAATACCCACTGCTACATAGCCCAGAGATCAGGGGTCATGCTTATGTAGGAAGAATCTGCTGCCTTGGCCCCTGTCTGCTTCATCTACAGCAGCAGCCCCTAGTGGCATCTCTTGATGGACAGTTCTGACATCTGTCTTAGAGAACAGCTTGTTAGGACCGATGGTCCTGGGGCCACAGCGCCACCTGGTGGACAGTACACGCATGGTGGCTGATCCAGAGACAGGAGCCTGGATCCTGTCCGAGAGAGCAAACCCTACAGTTTATCCAAGGAAAATGTCTAATAATCCTACAGGAAAAGTCTAGATGGGGCAAAGAGGTCCAAGGTCCTTTGCCTCTCAATGAGGGGACAAGAGAGGGAGGGAGGGAGTTGTGAATTGTCTAATTTAGGGAGGTATTTTGTTAAGGACTTTGTCCATGGATGCCCCCAGGACCCACCTCTTCAAATTTAATGACCAAGGCTGCAGAATGAAGCCATTCTGTGCAGTGACAATTGCAGCAGGCACACAGCTGGCAGAATCACGCTCCCTCTGGTAGACACTGATGACCTGCCCTACGGTAGTTAGGTCTGCTTTGGCCAGACCCAGATCCTCAGTAATGAGTCTGGGTGTTCAAAGCCCACTTTTTATTTTTTTATTTGGTTTTTATTTTTTGCACCGGTACTGGGGCTTGAACTCAGAGTATTGCACTCTAGCTTGGCTTCTTTTGCTCAAGGCTAGTGCTCTACCACTTGAGCCACTTCCCAATATATTTTTGTATGTGTGCCAGTCCTGGGGCTTAAACTCAGGGTCTGGGTGCTGTCCTTGAGCTTTTTTTTTTTTTTTTTTTTGCTCAGGGTAGGTACTCTACCATTTGAGCCACAGCTCCACTTCTGACTTTTTGGTGGTTAAGTGAAGATAAAAGAAGTCTCACAGACTTTCCTGCCTGGGCTGGCTTCAAACCACAATCCTTAGAGCTCAGCCTCCTGAGTAGCTAGGATTACAGGCGTGAGCTACCAGTGCCCAGCTTCAAACCTACTTTTGTAAGACAGAATCTAAAGCATCAGAGGGTAATAAAGCATTTTTGTATAACTTAGTTAGCATTTCTTATTCCACACTGTGAGAGCCCCAAAATCCAAACTGTGAGACCCTGAAAGGATTGAGAGTTTGAATTTCCTTCGCCCAGTATACTCTTAGAACACTGCGAGTTTTCCTGAAAGATCCTGGCTTAACGGGAACTCAGATTCCACCCTAAAACTGTGTGGGAGCCTAAGGGTATTCTTAGGTTTATGCAAATTGTAGGCTGTTATCTATTTGCTCTCCTTCCTAGAATAAGAAGGTCACCTACCATCTCTATACAAAATATTGTCACCTGTTGAAGTTTGTGTCTTGCTTCTTTGCACAAGACCAATAAAAAAAACCTTGGTTAATGGAATCTTGGGGTCTGTGGCTGGCGGAAGGCTACAGGTCCTCTGGTACCCCAAATCTCAGTTCCACAGTCCAGTCTCCCGTATTGCATTGCTCACGATTGCAGCACATTAAGAAGCACGCGGCCAGTTGCAACACCACACCATATCTAGATCAGGATCAGGATACTTTCTTGGGGTCTCACTGTTAGCAAGAGAGGCTGTCAGAGGCAGGGATGCAATCATTTTCTGTTTACTACAAACCCTCAAGAGATTACAGAGAAGGACTCTGGTGGGCCAAGGAACCAGAAAGGGGATTCTATTCCTGGATTCTGCCCCTTCTCTTCCCATCTCCAGTCCCAGGAGCTTGGACTGAAAACACCTCTAACCCAGTGCTTAGCTCCTCCTCAGATGGAGTAGCCGGGGTCTGAGGGAGGCTATGGACTGCTCAAAAACCCATGCTACCAGGCACCAGTGGCTCATTCCTGTAATCCTAGCTACCAAGGAAGCTGAGATCTGAGGATCGAGGTTCAAGGCCCATCCAGGAAAGGAAGTCCATAAGTCATTTCTCCAATTAACCAGCAAAAAGCCGGAAGTGGGGTTGTAAGTAGCAGAGCATTAGCTTTGAGGGGAAAAAAAAGCTCAGGGACAGCACCTAGGTCCTGAATTCAAGCCCTAGTACCTACCTACCTACCTACACACACACACACACACACACACACACACACACAATGCTGAGAGGACCTGGCAAATGCCACAGGCCGGCTATGGGTGTGTGTGTGTGTGTGTGTGTGTGTGTGTGTGTGTGTGTGTGTGTGTGTGTGTACCAAACCCTTTGAACAAACTATCCAATTCCAGCCACTCACTTCCAGAAGCATTTTAATAAAAGCACTTAAAAAATAATAACAAAACTGTCATTCGATTGCATTCGATTGCAGCCAATGAAAGCTCCAGGCAGCTAGGGGTGACCATCACCCCTAAGGGCTTTTAGCTGAGCTCAGGCCTTGGTCACGTGCGGCTGGTGTGCTGCGCATGCTCCTAGCACTCCCTAGCTCTCACTTCCTGTTGCGTCTGGAAGGAACGCCTGACAGACATCAGTCTTTTCTGTTTCGAACGTTCCCACCTGGACCAAGTTTGGCTTTCCTGAGATCAAGGTCTCTCTGAGGTCTTTGAGGCTGCTGCTTGGTTTGGCTCCAGAATCTTCCAACTGTAGGCCTTCCGGTGTTTCTTTTTCTTGGGGCTGCATCTTGTTTTGTCTGCAAGGGAGGAAGTGGGGTTGGGAGGAACTGTATCACTGGGCCATCCCCAGTGGTGGAGAGAGTTAGGGGTGTGGTGGGGGAGCACTCATGTGTAGTCTGGGAGTTGTTAAAGCCCCTATAGAGCCAGACGCTGCTGGTGACTCACATCTGTCATCCTAACGATTCAGGAGGCTGAGATCTGAGGATCAAGGTTCGAAGCCAGCCCTGGCAGGAAAGTCCAGGAGGCTCTTATTTCCAATTAACCACCAGGAAAGCAGAAGTGGCGCTGTGGAGCTAGGCCAGCCTTGAGTGCAAAAGCTCAGGGGCAGGGCCTAGGCCCTGAGTTCAAGCCCCAGCGCAAACAACAAACAACAACGCTAAAAAATAAGACCTGAATTTGCAGAGAACCTGTGTGCGCAGGACAATGTCTGTTGTTCCCACAGAGAGATACCTGCTCTCTAGGAGGACCATGCAGGAGACCAAGACAAGGGAGAAGCAAGGCACTCCCCCATTTTTTTAAAACAGTACTGGGGGTTGAACTCAGGGTCTCATGCTTGCTAGAAAGGTGCTCTACCACCTGAGCCATGCCTCCATCTCCTTTTGTGTTTTGCTTTAGTTCTATTTCAGATAAGATCTTGAATTTTTGCCCAGGGCCACCCTGGACCACAACAATCCTTTTACCCACTGGCTCCTGTGTAGCTGGAATCACAGGTTAATGCCACAGATCCCAGCTTCTTTGTGGAGATAAAGTCTTGACAACTGTTTTTTGCCCTAGCTGATCTCAAACCTCAGTCCTTACGATCTCTACCTCCTCAGTAACTGAGCTGGGATTATATGCATGAGCCACACCCCACGCCCTGCCTAGACCATCTTCTTGTTTGTGCGTGTGCTGGTCCTGAGGTTTTTACTCAGAATCAGGGTGCTGTCCCTGAGGTTTTTTTTGCTCAAGGTTAGCACTCTATCACTTGAGCCACAGTTCCACTTACAACTTTTGGATGGGTAACTGGAAATAAGAATGTCACAGCCTTTCCCAAGGAGGCTGGCTTCCAACTGCAATCCTCAGATCTCAGCCTCCTTAATAGCTGACATGATAGGTGTGAGTCACTATTACCCAGTAAGACCATATGCTTAATAGCTACATTGTCATTCCTGTGTCATTCTGGCTTGTTGGCCAGGCCAGAGGGCAATAATCTGGGGGCAGTTGCTGTTTTGTTGTTTGTTTGTTTTCACAGCTTTGGCTTTCTAAGATATTTTTCCCCCAGTTCTGGGACATAAACTGTCAGGGTGCTGTTCTAAAAGCTTCTTTTTGCTCCAGGCTAGTGCTCTACCTCTCTACCACTTAAACCAGAGCTCAACTTTTTTTTGTTTTTGTTTTTTTTGTTAGTTGTGGGGCTTGAACTCTGGGCCTGGGCGCTGTCCCTGAACTCTTCAGCTCAAGGCGAGCGCTCTACCACTTGAACCACAGCGCCACTTCAGACTTGTAAGACTTCAACTTGCTGTTCCGAAATGTAGACAGTCAAAGGCCCTAAATGAGCTCATCCCAGATTTCCTTCTGGAGATCCCTTCCCTTCAGAGACCCACCCAGCCCAGATTCTTACCTGTTGGCCCGGATGTTCCTTGCCAGGAGGTACATGCTAATCACTACCACCAAGACTGCCAAGACAAGCATGGAATAGTTCCAAGGAGATGCTGAAGAGGAACAAGAGACAGGGCCATGAGGAGAGGCCAGGAACCTCACTGTTAGGGCCTCGCTTGGATCCTAGCTCACAGATCTAACTATCCCTGGCCAGTGAGCCCCTTAGCAAGGCAAAACTGAGCCCCTTGTGATGGGGGAACTTCCAGTCTAACCAGCAGGAGGTGTGAGATACACCTGTCACAGAGAACACTGCACTGTCGTTGAATGTAAGTGTGGGAAAAAATCCAGGAACCAGTGGCTCATGCCTGCAGTCCTGGCTACTCAGGAGGCTGAGGTTTCAGGATTCAAGTTTGAAGCTAGCCTGGGTAGAAAGGTCTGCCAGACTGCAGTTCCAGTTAACCAGCAAAATGCTTCACTGGAGCTCAAGTAGGTAGTGAGTCAGCTCTGAGAAAAATAAAAACAAGATCCAAATTGAGAGGCTGGGAAGGTGGCTCAGTGGGAGAGTACTTGGCCTTGCATGCATGAGGCCCTAGGTTTGATTCCTCAGCACCACATAAGCAGAAAAAGCCAGAAGTGGCGCTGTGGCTCAAGTGGTAGAGCGCTAGCCTTGAGCTGAAGAGCTGAGGGACAGCGCCCAGGCCCAGAGTTCAAGCTCCACGACCACCAACAACAAAGATCCAAGTCGAAGTCACAAGGGCAGAGGTTTGTGTTTTTACTTCTCTGCAGGCAGTGCTGAGAACAGACCCTGGCATTCAGCTGGAGTTTAATAAATAGTCACGATGATTGGATGGCTGCATAAACCAGGGCCACAGCCTGAGAAAATGAGGGAAGGGTTCAGCCCAGCCCCTGCGAGTAGTTATATGCGTAGCCTGAGTCTGTCTGTCTTCCTAACAATGTCCTATATAATAGAAGAGATGTCATTCACGTTGTCTTTTGTGTCCAGCATCTATCGCGAGATCCCGTCCCTTCCCCCCCACCACCAATCCCCAACCACTTACCATCTTCTACACGGAAAAACCAAACCATTTCTTCCAGCAGATCCTGGGGCACCGCAGGGCCATCTGGGGCTGCCACGGCCTCCTCTCTGGGCTCCATGTCCCTGATCCTGCTTGAGGTATGTTGCTGGCACCAAATCTTTGGTCCCTTCACCCCAGCTGCCGGCCTCCCCTGCTAGGTCCCAGCCACAGAGCAGACAAGCCTGGAAGAGCCCTGCAAGCAAAGGGAAGGGAACATGATCTGATACAGCGCTTCAATTTCAGCTCCCCTTCTGCTCCCACCAAACCCATGTATTTTCTAGTCCAAGGTTTTAAGGCCTGGAGAGACATGGGAATAACTCGTGTGTGTGTGTGTGTGTGTGTGTGTGTGTGTGTGTGTGTGTGTGTGTGTGTGTGTGTGCCAGCCAGTTCTAGGGCTTGAACT